CATCCCCGCCGGGAGCCGCCCCCGGGAGCCGCCGTCCGGGATGCGACGGGACGGGGCGGCCGCTGCTCCTGCGCGGCGCGGCCGCCGCTCCCGCCCTCTCCCCTTTTCCTCCCGTTTCCATTTTTCCCCCTCTCGCCTTCCGAGGTGCCCGGCGCGGTGCAGCGGGCAAGTTTCGGGGAGCCTCCGTGTATCAAGTCTGGGCATGGTGAGGAGTGCAGGTTGTTGCTGTTCCGCAGCCTCTGGACTGCAGGAAGCTAGACCCGAGAAAATGAGAAATCTTCATGTCAGTCTTCATTTCCATTCGGTTTTAGCTTGCACCTGAAAGGTCTTTATTTATTTATTTATTATTTATCCCTTAGGGTAGTGCTCTTTTGCTCAAAGCAAACCCTATACCTTTTTCTCATCCATTAGGCTGCAGTAAGAACTGCAGTCCTTTCCTAAAGGACAAGTATTAAATAAGAACATTGGTGTGTGTGTGTGTATATATATATTTSTGTGTATATATATTTATGTATGTATATATATATATATAAGATTGGAACCTCACCCTGATAAAATATTGCAGAGGATGAGACAGCTGCCAGCCCTGAAAATGTAYATGCAGGGGATGATAAGGTGCCTGGGAAAGACTTGAGCTCGGATGGGCAAATAGTTATTAAATATTGACTTCCCCTGGATGGGCTTTGGCTACCTATTTGTTTGTTCTAGGATTCATATTTTTCACACAGGGAAATCCTAGGTAGCCCCTTGATGCCTTTTAGCAAATTAATGTTTACTGTACTCAGGACTTCTTCATGCCTGCTCTTAACACATGTATTTTTTTTTTTTTCTGGAATCTTAGAGATTTTATTCTGCCCTGAGTTTTCACATTACTGGCACAGTTATCCTTTGGCAATACCCATAACAGGAGAATTTCTGCCATTCCCAAAGGGCTCTTCATAGTTACCTGCTCAACAAAATGGCTTGGGCTGTACCTATGCTTCTAAAAGGGTTTTCCAGGGAAAAAAAAGATAGAAAAGAAGTGCAAAAATACCATATACGAAATGCTATCTATCACTAAATATCTATGTAGTCAAAGATAATGCTCACACTCCCATCAGCAGCAAATACCTAGTGGCCTCTGGGCTGGGACTGGTGTGAACAAAGTTGATGGAGAACCAGGTCACAGAGCCAAGTCTTTGCTGTATTTAGCCGCAAGCACTTTGGTGAGGTTTGCCCAGAGCCGAGGGTGCCCAAAACTGCATTTTATGTTGCACTGTCTGAGGCTGACCAGAAACTGCATCCTCAGGACGCTTGCCCGCACCACCGCCGCCTGGACCGTGGGGTGGACCAGGCCTCCYGCTGACAGCCCCAGGTTCCAGCCCTTGTGCTGTAGACGCGGTGGCTGCGGCTCCGTGGACAGGACGGGACGGCTGTTGGTGCTTCAGGAGCTGCGCGGGGAGTCAGCACAAAGCTGTGCAAATGGAATGAGTTTGCAAATCTTTGCAAGTCCTCGGTTAAGGAATTGTACCCATGGCATGTCGTTTTTGCTCCAAAAAGTATTCTGAGGATGTAATAAACAGCATTCATTGTTTGTGTGCATTGAGTGAGAATATTGGAATATCATGCTTTTATAAACTTAACTTTTTGCTCTCCTTGCTTTTGTGCTAAAACATTTTGTTTAGTAGAGATGGAAAGAAAGAAAGGAAGTGTCCAGAAAGATTTCCAATCTCTTGTTTTGCTCAAAGGGTCTAACACCACATGCCAGGTTAAGAAAAATAGTGGCTTTCTATTTCAAAAGGTTAGATGCTTCCCATTGTGAATACTAAACCCAAATAAAAATAAAATAATTAAACCAATAAATCCCCAAGCTCAATAGCTGTAGGAACTAAAAGCAGATCTCAAGGACAGAAGAAAAGAAAAAGCAGAGAAAGTTTATCAGAGCTAACGGGAAGCCCATTGAAGCTAGCAGAAAAACTCCCATTGCTGTTCAAGAGCTTAATGCAATAGGTCAGATTTGGACCATTTAGTACCAATAGCTGTAGCTAAAAATAATTTCCACTCTGGTGAGCCAGGAGTGATTACGTGCAATCTACTGTATCAAATGTTGCAGATCTAAGAAAACTTATCTGAATACCCTGGAAATATGTTCTTGTTTTTGTAATTTGGAGCCCTGATATTTATGATTAAATAGATCTGATCCTTTTTTTTTTCAATAGAAAACATTAAAAAATGAGGATCCAGTCATGTCCTAGATGAGTGATGGTTGGACCACGTAGAGAGATAGAAAGAATAGTTATTGCCTTGGGTAAGAGAATTGCATCTTCTGCAAGCACTAGCAGCTCACTGTCTCTAGGCTCCATGATGACCCTTCTAGAGTTGTCCTGTCTATGAAGGGACAAGGACAGGGGGACGCTGAAGCACCTTGAAGAGTCACGGAGTAGATRTAAATTGTCCTGGTAGCTTTCCATGAAGAAAAAAAGCTAAGCTGAAGCAGAAAAGAACATGGTGCAGCTACCTCAGGACTGACAAAACCATATTCCAAGCATCACTGCATCATGATTTCTAAGAATTGGAGCTGTTTGACAGCTTTTCAAAATATTTTGACAACTCCTTTTGCTAAAGTTTGTAACTTAAAGTCTTGAAATTTATCATCATTTTGCAAAAATAGTCCATTTTACCATTGGCTATTGAGAAGATTACATAATGTAAATGTCTTTTTTTTTTTTTTTTTAATTCTTTAAAATCTTGCTTAAAATGTGTGATTGTTTCCAAAATAACCAAATCCTGGAAGAAATCTGTTAGCTTGATGAAGATCTTGCACAACTGCAGGACTTGGGCCATAGTTTGTGTTACTCTAATGCGTACTCAAAATCTGAGGAAAAGTCCTGGAGCTGCTGTTGAGATCTTCATTAAAGAAATCACCCAAAGGCAGTCATTTGGTTAAAGTAATGTTTTTTTTTTATTATTTACTTAATCAATTGAGTAATCTTGCTAGGCATTTGGCTAAAGTGTTATCTTGTTTGAAAGCTGATGGTCTGCTCTAAGTCCAGTGCTTTGTTGGACAATAAACATTGATATTTCCCACAGAAGAAGTGGGTGATCTCTCTGTGTGCTGTGTTTCAATGTGTTGCAATGGTGGAATATATTCAACATACACATGTCAATGGTTTTGTATTTCYACATCTAAAAATCAGTATTTTTCACAAGAATACACCGAGAGTTTCCATGCTGCATCACTCACCAAAATAGTCCACATCAGTGATGTTACACTACTCTCTTTGAATAATCCCCTGATCACTTCCATCCCTGATTTTAGGCTAGAACTGGAGCATTGTACAACGGGTTCCCCTGGTCACACGCAGGATGTCAGCCACTTTGGTTATCAGGAGACCAGTGTGCATGAAAGCAATTATATTAATAATTAAGTGGGGATGTTTACATCATTAGCTTGGCTGTTTAGAGCAAAGTGCATGTGAAGCGATGAGATGCATTCATTAAGCATTTAATTAAGCTTCTGCCTGAAAATAGGTCGTAACACCAAACACCATGTCCCATTATTAAAGAATAAAGTTTAGTATGATATTGTTAAACTTAAGCAGCCCCAGAGATCATGTTCTTCACTTTCACCTCATGCTGGATTTAAGGGGGCATTTGTGTTGCCTCGTGCAATTATGAGGCATAGATGACATAACTGGTAGTCTGTGCAGTCAAAGCAACTGGAGTGTTGGTGGCATTGTAGACAAGGACTCCAGTGTTAATATATAGAAGAAGTGGCTATATCAGATTGCCAAGCTACAACTTCAGATGGTTGAGGTGAAGGCTGCGCTCTTCCYGTTACCTGACTTAGAGCAGTGTCAAACAACGAAAAATATTCTAACAGCCAAGAATTAGGGGAAAAGTTTATGTTTCCATTGAGTCTTAGATCTTGTTAATGCAACTCAGAGTATTTCTTTGTGTTTTGATGCAGAACACCAGGCCCGTAACCCAAATTGCAAGGGGTAGAAGTCAGCCACAAGCAAATTTTGACTGTTAGGGGATGTTAAATTATATTATTTTTACACTAATAATCGTAACTAAAGAGGTGATTTATTAGGAAAATTATTTTCCATGTGTTTGAGAGGAACAAAACCCAATGTTTAAATTAGAGATTCTTGCATTCTTCCCACTTATTTATACATAGTTATTCAAAAGCCTTTTTTTCCCCCCCTAAGGCCTAATGATAATTTTATGATGCTTTCTCACTTTCTCTATTCTTTCTGAGAGAAAGAATAATCTAATTAGCTATTCAGCCTTGACAATTACATTCAATTTAAATGTGACAAATAGCCAATTTCCAAAGGCCTGATCCTGTATAGTGCTAAGAGCCTCCTGAGAACACTAATGTGTTCTCACTTGCAACAACATCAGTCGAAACTGAAGGCACTCAGCGCTTTATCAGGTTGGTCTATATTTGAATGCCTTATTTTCATCTACATCTTTGGCATGAGACTTTATATTTTACCTTCACACCTTCCACGCTGGTGGGTTATGTCCTTCCTTTATCGCTTCTGCTAATTTGTTTGCTGTTATTGCATTGTGCAGGGAAACGTCTGTCAATGTCTAG